ATAAAATCTCGTTCGACTTTAAAAGACCTTAGCTGTTCAACTGCCAGACAATGGGACATTTCATTATCTAAAGAAATTCTTTTGATTGAATCGCATCGAATAGCGTCCAAGTTCAACCGAAAACTACCCCCACCATTACCATTATTATTATCATAATCATCATCGTCAACGTCGTCACGATCATCATCATCATCGTCAACATCAGTTGAAAAGCCAAGCAACTGGATATCATCACATCACCCACCAAGTGGGAGAGTTAAATAAATTAAATAAACTTATTTGATATTCTTATGGGTTTGTTGCTATTGTTGTTCTCCTTGTTGTTGTTGCTGTTGTTGTGGTTATCATTTATACATATGAAAATATTAACATTTATTTACACAACAATAAGAAAGTAAATATTAAAAGATTGTTGTTGACGAGGTCGACCATTTGATACCCTGCATTGCATATTTACATGAATGGGTAACAATTCAAATATTGGTTACATTTTACAGATTTAATTCCAAATCAGAAATCGGATGGAAAATATGTCGGCACGAGAGGTAAAGCTATATCTCTCTTTTTACCTTACCGTTTGCTACAAATCGAAATATTCGTCGGATATCCAAAAAATGTGTACATATTTGCGATTACCATATAACTCTGATTCGGTTAAACAATGTCTGTATAAGGGTTCGTCTGTTCCAATAAAGGTAGAGGTCATAACATTTAAGATAAATGTATAAAATGCATAAACATTTGAAGAACTGCTAAGATATTTGCTATGGGAAAAGGGGTTAAATCGGGCCACGTTTAGGTTTAGCCCCACAAAAAACGGCACTTCGTGATTTTCGATATTTAGAAGATTCCAGCCACAATTTTCATCCAAATCAACTACAAATTGTAGGCGAAATTGTCGGCTGACAATACCGTCATGTCTTTGCTGATTGGGCCCTTAGAATGCATGAAAATGATCCAGAATTTCATTAAAGAATCATGTTGAATAATGAGGTTAATTTCCACCTTGGTGGCTAAGTTAACATTAGCAGAATCTGGTATTCGGGAACCTAATAGTTATTGGTTAGAATGCTCAACGTGTGATGGTTTATAGTCCGATTTTAAGTTTTACCGAGGAGCAAGAGAGTCAAATTTGGTGAAAATCGGTTCAGAAATAGCTATAGCTCCACATATATATTGCATCCGATTTGGGGTTTTAAGCCCCTCTCATGCATAATATGCACTCCACACTTAATCCGATTTTACGGCTATTGCTCACCATATATGTAATATAATCTCAAATTGAATAGATTTTTTCATTTTCAACCGAATTTTACCATTTGGTGAAACTCGGTCCGGTATATCTTTTGCTGCAATAAATATTTTTAATATATTCCTTATCGAAGTCATAGCATGCTTTCCTTGCTGGTTTGAATCTTGAGCTTTTGTAGGAGAGTTAAGCAGAGTTTTTCAAATGTTATATTGATACTGTTGGTATCTGGAAATGAGATATGAAGGTGGTTTTGGTGGTTTTGTGTGCTATAATTGTAAGAAAAGTACTAAGTTGTATTATATTGGGTATTGCTGGAATCCGAATATTTTATATTGAAGTCTTTGTTGGTATCTGGAATTGATATATGGAGGTGGTCTTAGAAGTGTGTATTATAATTGTAAGAAAAGTACATTTCGTGTTTAGTGAATGAACATTTCGTATTGAGTGAAATGTGAAAGGGAGAACCCAACAGCATATTTGCATTAGATCTACAGTTGATATAGTTTTATCGGAAATAATAACAGAAACATGTTTATATTTTACATCAGTTTTTTTCAAAATCTTTCATTTTAAGTTTACCACACCCAATTTCAGAATTTCAGCTCTATACCTTTATATAATACTAAATTTTAGTACTTATTTGCAAAACTATTTCATATCTTATATCTAGATACCAACAATTATCGCAATACAAAGTTTTGCATTTTTAGCTCTATCCCTTCACCAGATTCAAAATTTAGTACTATTTAGTATTTTTAATTTGAACCACAGACACAAACTGTGCCATCTATATCAAAATTAAGGATTTCATCTTTATTCCTTAACCCAATGCCAAATTTAGTACCACTTAGTACTTTTCGAACAATTATAGTATGCATTTCCAAACCACACAAAACAAATCACAAACACATATGCACCATCCGTTTTTAGTATTGTAGTATGGAGAGTATATTGATACCTCGAAATATGCATTTTAGACCCCACAAAGTATATATTCCTGATCAGCATAAAAAAAATTCTATGTCGATTTAACGATGACCGTCTGTCTGTCCGTCTGTGGAAAATTTATTGATAAAATTTTACTCAAATGTGTGTATCGTCTGCAGGACTTTCGGTATTGAAAATGGGCTTTATAGCTCCACCTTTAGGTATAGCCCCCATCTAGCTGTACCTCCCGATATTCGGTATTTTGATGATTTTAGCGACATTTTTCAACGGAATCGTAATAAATTTCGTATTGATAGTTCTTAATGGGATCTTCAGTCTATGATGGAAATAGGCTGTGAAGGTCCAGGTCCAGGTCCAGGTCTTCAGGTACCTCCCTATATTCGTTATTGTGTGGATTTGCTTCAAATTTCGTATTTGTACTTCATAATTGGTACTACAGCTTGTGACAGAAAATTGCCTATGCAGGTCTACGTCTTCGTATAGACCTCAAAATAACGAATATAGGGAGAATTCGGTATTTTTAAGATTTTAAGAGAATTTTTAAGGGATTCTAGTACACCTACACCACAAGGTGGTAAGGGTATTATATGGTATAGGGTATATGTCTTGTGCATTTGTTTGTAACAGGCAAAACCAATCGTGATAGACTCATAATTCCTTTTGATGATCCGTTTGTTCATGTATTTTTGTAAACAATGTACAGTTCGCATTTATTGCCCGATCCGGATGAAACTTTGTACAAATCATTTATTTGAGCCAAGGACGAACCCTCTTGAAATTGGGCATAATCGGTCAAAACTTAGATATAGTTCCCATACATATCTTCGTCCTATTTGCCTTTTATTGTGCACTAAACGTGTAGTAAATAGTAGGAATTTTGCACATACGACCAAAATAGGCCTGAAAATAAGTATGCCAAATCGGTTCAGATATAGCAATAGCTCCCATATATACTTTTTATCTGTTTTGTTATTTTTGTCTCTGCAGCCATAATATGTACTTTGTAACAATGATATTTGGGAAAATATATCACATACAGCTCAGAAATATCTTCCCAAATTTTATCGAGATCGGTTCAGATTTGGATATAGCACCAAACATGTAATATTAGCCCAAATGAGAAACAAGTATGTCAAATTTGGTGAAAATCGGTTCAGATATAGCTATAGCTCTTATATATAATGTTCATCCGGTTTGTTATATATATTCTCCACAACAGTAATATGCACTCCTTAACAACGAGATTCAGGGGAATATATCAAATACAAATTTTATCGAGATCGAGTTGGATTTGGATATAGCTCCCATATACATATATCTTTATCCGATTTTAAAATAATTGTGCACCAAATGGGTAACACAAGCCCAAATTGAAAAGGCACAAGTGCTTCGGCAAATTCAGTAGAAATCGATTTAGAGGAGGATATTCCCCTCATATATTAGTTGCTTTGGACTTTAAATTATAACAATAATCATAGTTGGTATGATTTAATTCTCACAAATTGCCCATAAAAACTTTTATTTGTTATGTGAAGCTCTACTAAATATGCGAAATGGTGTAGGGTATCATAAAGTCGGCCCCGCCCGTCTTTAAGACTTTCTTTACTGGTTTTCGGCCCGGTCGAAGTTACTACTTTCTAACTTGTTTTTCATCATTCCTTCACCCTAAACCACACGCTGACGCACCTCGGCAGGACTTCTAGATTCCAGGTACCAGAAATGGTGAGCCATATTCGCACTAAATCTAATATAGTTGAAATTTAGCGTTGAGCGAAGTTAGTAGAAATAACGAATTGTTATTTTGAATTTTATAAGACTTGTAACTATTTAAAATTTGGGCGGAATCACAAGGAGTGTGTCGAAAAATCCCATATTCATTAGATCTCGGGTTTAGTGAAAAATAAAGATATATTTTCTTTTGCATGTTATAAGGGTTCTAAATAAATGTTGACCCATTGTGGGGGATGTCCCGGAAGGAGTGTTTCGCTATTCCCATTTTCACACAAGGTCTTGTTTTGAAGAAAATATTGGGACGTGGCAAAATTGAAGACAATCGGACTCTTATTTCACATTTTATGAGAGATATTATGATTATTCAAAATGTTGACCCTTTTGTGGGGAAGGTATTAGAAAGAAAGGACCGGTATTGTTCATTGCCTCGCTTGGCCTAGCATCGATACATGTATTATTATTTGCAAGGTTTGACCAAAATTGGATGATCCCTTCCTGTTCTACGAGATAAATTGTTTTCTGTAAAAATTTTAACTTTTTGGCGGGAGGTAACAGAAACAGTGGACCTATCTATGATTGATAATAATATTATGTGTACCAAGTATGGACCAAATCGGATACTCCCTTCCAGAGTTATTGTGTGCACCAGCCAGACGGGCAGAAGGACGGACACTGTTAGATCGACACCAAATGTCCTGAAACCGATTAAGTCCAAAAAAGACATATGGTCTGAAACCGTTATTTCTATGAGACACGTTTCGGGCGTAATCCATGGTAGCCAAATAGCTGAGGGCCTAAGCAATTGAAACTTTTATACATAATGCCAACCTTTAACAGACTACGAACGTTCTATGCAGCTTTTATGAAATATCAAAGCTCTAACCAGAATATAACAAACTTGAGCTTTATTTCAATAGTCGGAGAAATGGATATAACCAAATCATTTAAAAAATTTGATGCCGATCAGTAAGGATATATATTAAATTACCAACAAAATGATAAGCCATAACTACCCACCATCCATGGTGGAGGTCACACAAAACAGTAATACAAACAATGTAAGACTCACCTGATACCACAGAACGCATACTGCTATTACGATCGTTACGCGGACGCAAACCAATTCCCAGAGCAGAGGGCGATGTGGATAATGATGATGAAGCGGCGGCAGCTGCTGCGGAGGTGGTGGCACCAGTTAACGGAGAAATGCTATTAAATATAGCCGAGACAGGTCTCACAGCATGTGAAGATGGACTGCTGGACTTGAGCTGTGATGGGAATGGTGGCGGTGACAGTGACACTGATTGTTGTGGCTGCTGTTGTGTGGCGATTGTCGCACCACCACCAGGGCTCGTTAATGGATGTGTTGAGTTGTTGCCCGCGTAAATTGAACTGATTGCAGGCATTCGGTATGAATATAATGCATCTAATGTAGATGATGAGGCAAGCGATGTCGATGTCGCTGCCGTGGCTTTTGTTCCCGGGCCCGTGTTGTTTGTTGTCTCGTTGACGGCATTATCCGAGTCATAGTCTTCAATTGTAAATTTTACACTTGGGTTGACACCTGCAGCTGGATAGCTGCCGTTACTACTGCGATTGCCGGCCACTAGTGTTCCTCGAGTGTTCACCTCTGCCGCCGTATGATAAACGACATCCGACCGAGGCAATGATGGTGATACTGAGCTTTTTGCCGTCAGTAGGGGATGCTGTGTGGCACGGGCAGCCCATGTTTGTGTGGGGGTTGGTGGGGCGGCCAAACTTAGATTTGTTGGAGAACGGAGCGGTAATTTTTGTAAAGCTGTCAGCGACGTTGTTGATGTGGTCGAGGGGAATTTTGGTTGTTGACCCAGGGCGGGTGATGTGGCTGGTATTATGATGAATTTATGTGACCGCACCGAGGGTGTACGTATGAGGCGGGTCTGCTCGTCGGCATCGGATCCCTCGGCTCCGCTATCGTATAGCCAGCTATGACGAAAATTGACCGAGCCCTGTTTGCCAATGCTGGCCAGTGGGGGAGTGGATGCATTTGCTAAGTTCAAAGATAGGCTGGTTGATGACGAGACTGTTTTCGATAATGTTGCAGTTGCAGGTGGTGGTGGTTGTGGGGATGTTGAAGACGGTGTTGTTGTGGCAGCTTGGCTGGTGTTGGTGGGTTGTTCGCTAGGATTTGTTTCCATGGTGGTTTGTAATTTTTTGTTAAATTATTTGATTTTTATTTTAAATAAATCGTTTCGTTTAAAATATTATTTTTTGGTTCATTTTGTTCTCTGTAAGAAAAAATAGTCTGGGGTCAGAGATACCCGCCAAGGAAATGTAACAGAAACGAAACTCATGAAGTTTTTCACGTTTTACGAGATTTATGGGTATTCAAAATGTTGTCCCTTTGTGGGAGAGGTAAGAAAAGGAGTGGACCGATATATTCCATCTTAATATTTTTGTCAAACTTAGATCGAGTTCGGAGATGGGCAATATCGGCCCACTCCTTCTGGTACCTCCCCCACAAAAGGTCGAAATTTTCAAAAAAATTATTTTTTGCACAGAAAGAGAAACGATAATTCGATTTTGCTCCAACTTTGCAAATCCTAAGATTTGCGTCAGTGCTAGGTCAAGTGTGAAAATGGACAATATTGGTCCACTCCATCTGGTACCTCCCCCACATATGGTCAAAATTTTGAATAATTACAACTCTTATAAAATGTGATATGAGAGTCCGATTGTCTTCAAATTTCACACATGCCAATATTTATGTTAACCCAAGCTCTGATGTTAAGATGGAATATATCGGTCCACTCCTTCTGGTACCTCCCACACAAATGATCGAGATTTTCAAAAAAAAATATATATATTTTCTGCACAGAAAGAGAATCGATAATCCGACTTCGTTCAAACTTTGGAAATCCTGATATTTACGTCAGTTCTAGGTCAGGTGCAAAAATGGATAATATCGGTCCACTCCATCAAGTACCTCCCCCACAAAGGTCGAAATTTTTAATATCCATCAAGCTCTTAAAACACTACATTAACATCCGATTCCATTCAGACTTGGCACATCTCAATATTTTCATAAAAGCAAGATCTTTTATAAAGATGGTAGAGATCGGACCATTTTTTCTGGTATCTCCCCACATAGGGTTCAAGATTTTTAAAAACAAAACGCTCAAAGAATTCGAAAAAAACATCGAAATGCATCCATCCATCTCCTCAAATTTCCCAAAAACAGATATTATTTCTAACACAAGATCTGTTGTGAAGTTGATATACATCTGCCAACTTATAACTGTCATAACTTGCGAAACAATTCGGCGGTTCTTTACAACTTGCTGTATCTACGAACTTCTGTCGGCAAAACTGACTGATACTATTTTACTTATTATGATCGTTTTTGTTATTCAAAACTTTGACCCTTTGTGGGGGAGGTACCAGAAGGAATGGTTCGATCTCTACCATCTTTATCACAGATCTTGTGTTGATGGGATTATTGAGATGTACCAAGTCTGAATGGAATCGGATGTTAATTTCGTGTTTTATTAACTTCATGAATATTCAAAATTTTGACCTTTTGTGGGAGGGGTACCAAAAGGAGTGGACCACCATTTTCACACCATACCTTGGGTTAATAATAATATTGTGGTGTGTGTAATTTGAAGACAATCGAACTCTTACAATACATTTCATAAGAGTAAACATTTTTCAAAATGTTGGCCCTTCGTGGGGGTAATTGATGAAGTGGGTCGGCATTGTCCATTTTAGCAGCTGACCTAGAACTGACGCAAATATTAGGATTTGCAAATTTGGAGCAAAATCGGATCAGCCTTTCTCTTTCTGTGCAGTAAATTATATTCTTAAAACTCTGATCCTTAGTGGGGGAGGTGGGGGAAGTAGTAGCCCTATATTGCCCATCTCCGAACTCGATCTAAGTTTGACAATAATATTACGATGTACCAAGTTTGGATCAAATCAGATACTCCCTTCGAGAGTTATCGTGCGCACCAGCCAGATGGGCGAGTACCGCTAGATCGACTCCAAATGTCCTGAAACGGAGACCTCAAGCCTAAACCGTTATTTAGATTAGGCACGTTTTGGCCGTATCAAATGATATATACGTTCTCTAGCCATATGGCTGAGGGTATAAAAACGCATTTTTGTTACGGGTAGTTCTGCTAATGAAGAATGAGTTCTTTTTTGTACCAACATGAGATTTACAACTATAAACAATATCATCCCGTATTTGTAACCCCGTGTAAAAAAGCAATATTGAATACAACAAACACCGATTAATTGTTTCGCATCCAAACAATTGTATTACTTTGTTGATCACTTTCTTCTCGTGGCCAGTTCCAATGTTTAGTTCAATAAATCGTCAAAAAAGAAGAAGAAGCGCTAATCACATTTTAAATTGTTCCAGTTTCTTTGTTTTGTTTTGTTTGTGTTTTTTTTTTCGTTTTTCGTTGGTGTGGTTGACATGTCTATGCCGATGAATGAACGGATGACACATTCATCCGTTGGCGTTGCTTTTTTTCTGCATCGCTCTATCATGTCTGGCTATCTTGACCTTTTCCCCATTTTTTGTCACTTAAATTAAATTTTTTTTCGTCTTTTTTTTGCTGTTCATCCGTTAATTGATCGCATTAATTTGGCTATGAATATTAGTCGACATTTACATATGTACATATGAATGCACTTGAAATATAATCTATTACATTTTTATGGAAATTTCTCTTGGGGAATTATTTAATTAATGTTGTAAAATTTGTGCATAAAATTTTGAAATGTGTAATTGAACAAAATAAAATGTAACTTTTATTAATTTTTAAATTTAAATTTAATGTCTTAGATAATTTCGAATTCTATCTATGCCTGAGCGAGTTCTATCAGGTACCTTCGACAATACTCAAATTTTTACAGGAAACCCACATAGATAATGAATGTAGGGATAACAAGTAAAAAAGTCGTCTGGCCGAACTTTGATACCCTTCACCGTGATAAGTCAAAACCAGGACCTTTATCAGTGTAGGCAGTAAACTCCCATTGGAAACTTTAAATTAAAAAAAATCAGAAAATTCCGTTGAAAAAATTGGGGATAGCCATCAGAAAACCAAATATAGGTTGATAACGTTATATGGGGGCTATACCACAATGCGAAATTATATTAACTGTCGCAAGGGGATTAGAAACCGTAACAACCAAAATGTAATACCAAATTTCAGATAATGATATATATATATATATATATATATATATATATATATATATATATATATATATATATATATATATATATATATATATATATATATATATATATCATTCGATTACTTCAATGTTCGATTATTTGAACATATTTTCGCTTTCCGCTTTCTTTGAGCATTTTGTTTTCCAAAAATCCTGAACCCTTATCGAAATATTGAGATGTGCCAAGTCTGAATGGAATCGGATGTAAATTTCGAGTTTTATGAGATTCATGACTATTTAAAATTTTGACCCTTTGAGGGGGAGGTACAAGAAGGAGTAGACCGATATATTCCATCTTCACACCACACCTTTTATAAAAATATTTGTGATGTGTGTAATTTGAAGACAATCGCACACTTACGTCACATATTATAAGAGTTATAATTATTTAAAATGTGGAGTAAATTATTTTCTTTAAAAATGTTGACATTTTGTGGGGAAGGTACCAGAAGGAGTGGACCGATATTGCCCATCTCCGAACTCGATCTAAGTTTAATAATAATATTACGATGTACCAAGTTTGGATCAAATTGCATACTCCATTCGAGACAGATAGACGGACGGACATCGCTAGATAGACTCCAAATGTCCTGAAACGGATTTGGTCCAAAGAGACTCAGGGTCTAAAATCGTTATGAGGCACGTTTTGGCCGTATCAAATGATATATACCCTCTCTAGCCTTTTGGCTGAGGATATGAAAACAAATTCCAACGTCTCACAAAAAGTGAAGAGAAGATATGTTGGCACCCTCTCTCTCTCTCTGTGTGTGGTGTATAAAAGCAGGGGTGCTCAAAACCGTGTTCTAGAACATGAAGAGAAAAAAGAGATAATTTAAGAGAAAATTAAAATTCTGTTTTTCTTTATATTTTACTGTTCTATTTAATTGTTTTTAAACACGAATGATTGCCAAAATAGTTTATAAAGCAAATGGATAAAAAATAATTGTATAAATAATGACTTAACACTGTTTTGTTCTTGATTTAAATAAGCAAAGAGAAATTTGACTGAAAACAGATATTTCTTCTTGAGCACCCCTGATAAAAGCAGGGGTGCTCAAGAAGAAATATCTGTTTTCAGTCAAATTTCTCTTTGCTTATTTAAATCAAGAACAAAACAGTGTTAAGTCATTATTTATACAAATATTTTTTATCCATTTGCTTTATAAACTATTTTGGCAAACATTCGTGATTAAAAACAATTAAATAGAACATTAAAATATAAAGAAAAACAGAATTTTAATTTTCTCTTAAATTATCTCTTTTTTCTCTTCATGTTCTAGAACACGGTTTTGAGCACCCCTGATAAAAGCGATCAAAATTAAAAAAAAATCCAAAGTCTCACAAAGAGTGAAGAGAGCCGAAATTTACATCTGTTCTGATTCAAACCTCGAATATCGTAGTATACAGATCAAATTTTGGACAGGTGTTCAATTGGAAGACGAACCAACATTTTGAAAAATAATGGATCTCGTATAATGTAAATGTACCATGGTTTAAACTTGGTTTTTGACTTGGTAACTGACTGACTGACTTTGAATAAACTCCCATACAAAACGGCTGAAGCTAGAATCTTGAAAATTTTAACTTGGATCAATGTTAGTGGATAGATACTGCTTGATATATAAAATTTGGTATTTGGATCACTGTTAGTGTGTAAGATTGAGATTTGAATGTGGTTTTGGAAATACGTACTAAAAGTATTAAATGTGACATTTGAGTAAGGGATTGAGTTGGAACTCCAAAATTTGGTATTAAGATCACATATTGGGCGGCTTGGGTGATACATGGCGTACGTACTAAAAAGTACTAAATACTATTAAGTTTGGTATTTGAAGAAGGAATAGAGCTGGTAATATCAAATTTGAAGTGAAAGCCTTTAATTTTTACATTTTTTTTTTAAATTTTATTGAACGAAAGCAAAATGTCAGAAATAGCATCAAATTTTAGAATAAGTTTAGATTTGTTCGAATTGGTCACCTTTGGCACGAATTATGCCCTTCAAACGGCCAATGCAACCGTCATATTGCTTTTCGGT